TCTAAGGGTGGAGTCCCATGAGGTGTATTTATCGCGTATCGCGTAAGCGCGTAACCAATCAATAATCAGTAAAACGCGAAACTATAACAGCAGATCGCTTCTGATTGGTTACGCGGTTACGCGATACGCGATAAATACACCTCATGGGACTCCACCCTTAGGGTTCCGTCCCATAACGCGTATCGCTGTACGCACGTATTCGCGTATCGAAGGATCCGACCAATCACCGACGATCCGCCATTTTACGTACGCGATAATTGTGTTCCTAATGTCCCATGGAGCAGTTCGTGCGTAAGCGGATTCGCGTATCGCCAATCACAGAATCGTTTTGTTAGATCAGCTTGCAAATTCTGTGATTGGCGATACGCGAATCCGCTTACGCACGAACTGCTCCATGGGACATTAGGAACACAATTATCGCGTACGTAAAATGGCGGATCGTCGGTGATTGGTCGGATTCTTCGATACGCGAATACGCGCGTACAGCGATACGCGGTCATGGAACGGAACCCTTATGGTGAAATCACACGATGCGGAAAAAGACTGCGGAATAGAGAATGCGTCATTGAAGCAACCAATCAACGCTATTCAGTGTTACGTCCCGGGGTTCTTTCGGCGGGTAACCGAGGTTCGAATTAACCTGAGACTACTATGGTAGTATAAAGGTAAAATTTGAGGTAGTGGAGTGGCTAATTAACTTGTCCAATTTATTTGTTATTAATTTGAGTTGTGCGCTCGATACGGTGATGATGGTAGATTCTGGGGAGGTCCAGAGTGTATCATCTGTCCTACCTAAATATGAGAGGAACCTTTCTAATATTTCCGGGCAATCGCGACAATTCGACACGTGATGCACGGTAGTCAACAACACAGAGCATGCGTCACAATTTTCAAACCGTTCAAGAAATCCTAAGTGGATCGTAATGTCGTAACACGCCGAGATATTTACTCTTTTCGGAGGCCGAAAGCAAGGTGTAACATTCTGGGCACTTAATTCCGCTACTTTCGTTATCCAGATAAAACAGTGATGATGCGCAACAGGCGCTCCGTACCCATGTAACGTAAGGGTCTGTTCTCAACTGGCGACGAGAAATAGCCAATTGCGAGTGCGGGTGTACTGGGCACATGCTACGCGGGATCGGATTCGCGGCTCGTCGTGACCGAAATAGATTAATTAATAATTCCTTACCTTTTTCGATGAAGTTCTGGATGGCGATGACGAGCCGTGAGAGGATGAGTGCGGGCGGCTTCCAATTTCCCTAGTGTCTCTGCTCTGCCATTGGTTCTCCCGAGTCCGTGGTGATTGGATTGAGGTTTATTAACACGCGACCGAGTTTTATTAGTTAAAGTGTTCGTATAATTTAACATGACGGATTATGGAGAACAGGTTTAATATTCAGAGATTTTACTCGGATTTAACAAACCACATGAATTTATTATTTGTAGCTTCGTACACAATTAAAGGTTACACATTTTGGCTTAATATTAAGGATGATTTACATTAACGCGGGAATTGAATTACGCTTAAAAATTAGGATTAGAATTATTCTAGAACTTGAGTGAAGAATTTGAAACGTGCACGCGACATGTGAGAGCTTAAGGTCAAATGGCTTACATGTCCTCGGAGGTACTCTAGACCCGAACTCGCGACTCTAAGACTGTTACTTAACGACTGCCTTTATTCTAGTGCCCTGAAGGCAAATTTTAAGGGCGTCCCCTTCCATCGTTGCTCCGCTGAGGCACGCGTGGTGGGGAAGGCGTCAGGTACGGTCCTGACGGTCTCATATACTACGCCAATTTACAGGAAGCGAAAAGTTCGTTGTCTTTCTTTGGGTGGTTCTGGACAAAAATTTAACAATGCCGCAGACGTGACATCAGCGCTATTCGGAATAGCGTTGATTGGTTGCTTCAATGACGCATTCTCTATTCCGCAATCTTCTTCCGCACCGTGTGATTTTACTCTTAGGGTGAAATCACACGGTGCGTCATAGGGCTACGGAATACAGAGTGCGTTATTGAAGCAACCAATCAGCGATATTCCGCACTTTTCTAACACGCAAGTTTTGTGTGCTATGTTCACATGATGCGTCAAAGATGCATCCAGGATGAATAAATTTAGAAATTTCTAACTTTATGTTAATAATTTGCCTATTAAAATAAAATATAATTTCTCAAATTGTAAAAACAATTATTACTGTTGTGATATTTAATATTTTACAATTAATATTTACAATCTCAAAACGATGTTTTAATCAGCTGTAAAGAATTTACTATCCTTTTTCCGCAACGTGTGAACAGGGCACGCCGAAATCGCACGTAATGCGTCATCCGTCATTGTTCTTCATGTCTTGATCTTGAATATATTTGCGCAAATTTGATGCAATTAAGCTATCATACAGTAACTAATTTTTTATCATCATGGATAATAAAATAATGATAACTGAAGCTATTAAGCACTTAATAAAAATATACTTGAAAACTCCAATGATGCACTATCGAAAGGAGAAAATAAGGTTAACTTTGCTCAAATTATACTCAATTTACGTTGCCTTGTCAAAAAGAAAATCCAAAAGAAGTGTATGGGTCAGGCCCATTTATTCAGTAGAGCAGCGGTTTCGCCAAGGTGATAGTAACAATTTAGTTACCATGCTGAGAGCAACTGATCCTTCGCTGCATTTTAATTATTTGAGAATGGATGTTGGCACCTTCGAGCATCTTCTTTCAATAGTAGGCCCTGGAATTGAAAAGCAAACAAATATTAGAGAACCAATTGTTTCTCACACAAGGTTGCAAATTTGCTTGAGGTATTTAGCCAGTGGAGACAGCATGAGATCAATAGGATATGCATTTCGAGTTTCTCCAAACACTGTTTCGCAAATAATTCATGAAACTTGTGATGAAATCTGGCTTAAATTAAAGGATTTAGTTATGCCAATACCAAGCAAGGATGCATGGACAAAGATAGCAGAAGATTTTGAAGCAATGTGGAATTTCCCTCATTGCATGGGGGCAATAGATGGGAAACATATTGTAATAGAGGTAATAATAATTTATTCAGACATATCTTTTGTATTTAACATTCATGAAATAGACGACTTTAAAATTTAAATTACAGGCTCCTCCTCACAGTGGCTCCTTCTATTACAATTATAAAAAAACCCATAGTTTGAATCTTACTGGCATTGCAGATGCGCACTATAGGTTCATTTTGGTAGATGTAGGAGCAGAGGGTCGCCGTAGCGATGCTGGAGTTTTTGCTAATAGCAAATTAAAATCAGGACTAGATGCAAATACTTTGAATGTGCCTCCATCTTCTCCAGTTGATCAATACGAGTTACCATTTGTTTTGGTGGCTGATGAGGCATACCCGCTGTCACCGTACTTGATGCGACCTTATCCAAAAAGTTCACAACTTGATTTGAAGAAAAAAGTATTTAATTATCGTCTCAGCAGGGCCAGACAGGTTATTGAAAGAACTTTTGGCATACTTGCAGCAAGGTGGCGAATTTTTCGAAGACCAATCAATACCTACGTCTCGAAAGCCGAAAAGATAGTGTTGGCCACTATCTGCTTACACAATTTCATCATCACTAAGGAACTTCAAAAGCGCCCTCAGGAAAGACAATATTTACAATATAATGGACACGACAGGCAGCAAACATCGCTTGGCATTATTAGAAATATAGGAAATCAGATTAACCGAGATGTTATTTCACGTAACTTGTCCAGTATTTACAGAGAAAGATTTGCCAACTATTTTGTAAATGAAGGCGCTGTACAATGGCAATGGGAGAAAGCTGAGAATAATGAATTTTAAAATAAATCTGCAGAAAATGTATAGATGAATGTGTATTTTAATTACCTACATAAATAATTTTGTAAGTAAACATGAATCCGATACAGTTTTGTACTTTATGTTTTTTCCAAGAATGAGAATAAAAATGTTACATCGAGATAATAATTTTCTTTATAAATATAAATTATATAAGTCCTGCCTCTTCTTCTGCTTTTAATGCATCCATCATAATTTTAGTTTCAAGTAGTCTTCTATTTTTATATGGCAATTTTAAACAAGTCCTTTTTGAATTCAGCATCAGATGACTGCTTCCTTGGACCTGAAACACAATATAATAAATTGATTAGCATAGATATAACTAATTGCTTGTCAATTTAATTTGTGAAAATACATACTCTGACTTTGGGATTGTATTTCAAGACCGATAAGATCGGTATTTTAATCTCTCAAAATACAACGATTTATTATAAGAACACTACGCACGTTTAAAACATACGCACTCTCTATTCCGGATTATTTCGGAACATCTAAAGGCAAAATGCGGAATAGAGGTGATTGGTTGCTTCAATGACGCATTTTGTATTCCGCAGCCCTATGACGCATCGTGTGATTTCACCCTTAGGGATCTGATTACTTCACGTAAACACCCGCATTGACTGCACTCAGGCTCGAATTCATAGTCGTTTCTCAAATCTTAGATCTCGTTTCCAATCTCAAATTTCAGTTCTCAGGTTTTGAATCTCCACCTTCAAATTTCAGTGCTAGTGGCTCCTCGTCAAATTCAGTTCTTCATAACTAAGTGAGAGTGGTAAAAAAATTAAAAATCATAGTTGCAAAAGTATTTGTAATTATTCTTAATAAATTATCTTTTCGATCTCATTTTTGTCATTTTAGTTAGTGTTAATAAAGTATACTATAAACAGAAGAGAGAGAGAGAGAGAGAAGTTAACCTCATGAGAAGTTAACCTCATTTTACATTGCAACCGCATAACTTTTTAACCCACAACCTAAAAATTATGTTAACATCCTACAGATAATTAAAGGACCGACAAAGGATGACCCTTCAATGACAAACAGCCCGAACGAAGGAGATAGCGGAGAGACCAACCTGCAGATGGAAAAACTAAGATGAACATCAATCACTAAAGACAACAGGATTAGCAGGCTGGATGAAGAAAATTAATTTTAAGAAAAACATGTAACCAAAGTAGTTGTAAGCTTTTTTTTATATTTTATACGATTTTTATATTAATATTTTAGACGTAAGGAAAATGTTGTTGAGGCTTGTGCCTATTACGATATGTGTATCGTTATTTTCTCGTTGACGAAGGGTCGTATACAATTCTTGGATTACAGTTGTGGTGTTGCTTGTGCTCGAAAGACCAAATGAATAAATACTGTGTCACGTAATGTTAATTTAGAATATATTTCACTTCTTACAAAAATAAAACGTGAGCTAACAGTAATACAGAAAGATGCGCACTCGGTGACATGCTGCAAGGAAGGAGTTACGGAACAGGAAAGAAGGCGCAACAGTGTAGGCAACACCATGCTTCAAAATAAAACTAGATAGGCAGTGTTGCATAGAGGGCCTGAGCGGCACAAACAACGAGAGACACGCGAGCGGGAAATAAGAACGCGTGTAGCGTGTACAAATGTTAAAGGGTCAATCATATTATAAGTGTTATATTTATATTTTATTTTATATGCAAAAAAGTTTATATGATGATATCTATTTTATTTTTTATATTTTATGAAACGCTAAAGAACTTTGAGAAGTATCATTAAAGTACAATTTAATTTTATGAACAACATTATTATACTTACTTAACTATTAAAAGAATATTTTATCAACCTACCTAGTAATCCTTATTGCAACATCTTGAGAATCAGCTCGGCGGTACCTAGAAAATAAAAAAGAAACTGTTAGAAACATCATAGATTTAAACATAAAAAGAAATAAATTAACATCTTAACTTTTTATAATAAAATACTTACCATGAAACTTGTTGACCAATAAGAATCATTGAGATATTTCTTAAGACCTGAAAAAGAAAACAGAAAGTAATTAATTAACATTAACAAAGATTATATTATATTTTAATAAATAAAACAAGGGCAAACGAGCCAACTACAATATAAGATCTTTAATAAACGTATATGTATACAATAATCAAACGTTTCGACACCGATCGGGTCATTTTCAATGTACAATAACAAAACATCTTACATAATTAATCAGAAATTCAGTCAAAATATATTGTCCAGTGAGAATTTGGTTATATTCATAAAAAGCAGTCCATATTTAAAACTATTGAAGAGATCAAACTCACTTATCGCAATTCTACCATCTAAATAAATAATAAATTAACGTTGCGTTATAAATTAGATAAACGATATACATGTTTAATTAGATTAGAGAGAATGTAAATTAGATAAAACATATATACCTCATATTGTCTCAATGATGCATTGTGGACAACGAAATTCCTTATGTGAATTCGGTGTCGGAAAAGTTTGCTCCATTAGCCAATATGTGTCATTGTAAATTGGCCTTCTCGATACCAAACTCATTAAATAAATTCATAAAAAAGGGTAAATATCAGCTAGATCCCTTATTTAATCAAAATGTAGTTTACAAGATCTCTTGTGATGATTGTGAAGCCAGTTACGTGGGTCAGACCAAAAGACAATTAAAGACAAGATTGCACGAACATGTCTCTGATATCAATAAGAAGTCAAAATCTCCAACAGTCATCACTTGTCATCGCATTGACCAGAATCATAATTTCGACTGGGATAATGTGGAAATATTAGAGAAGCTTCGTTTAATAAGAGATTGATATCGGAGATGGTTCACATAAAACGACAAACGCATGGGCTAAATAAACAAAATGACACAGAATCCTTGCCAGAATCATACCTAAATATTATCCAATCTCTTTCCCCCTCCTAACAATGTCCTTGTCTCCTTCTTTATTATCTTTCCTATTTCCTTGTTTTCTTTTTGTCATAATGTCGCTTGACGTCGATTGAGTCTAAACGTTATATTCATGCGCATCATGGCTTAATAATTTTTATTGTACATAACTTGTTAAATATAATTTTGTTAACTGAGTGTTCCTTTCGTTGTCCACACAATACATCATTGAGACAATATGAGGTATATATGTTTTATCTAATTTACATTCTCTCTAATCTAATTAAACATGTACATCGTTTATCTAATTTATAACGCAACGTTAATTTATTATTTATTTAGATGGTAGAATTGCGATAAGTGAGTTTGATCTCTTCAATAGTTTTAAATATGGACTGCTTTTTATGAATATAACCAAATTCTCACTGGACAATATATTTTGACTGAATTTCTGATTAATTATGTAAGATGTTTTGTTATTGTACATTGAAAATGACCCGATCGGTGTCGAAACGTTTGATTATTGTATATATATACGTTTATTAAAGATCTTATATTGTAGTTGGCTCGTTTGCCCTTGTTTTATTTATTGATTTATTCTAATTGAGCCATATTAACATTTAATTATATTATATTTTATTTTATTGCAATTATACTTACCATTTATATGACATAGAATCAGTAATTTAATTTACAGATGGTTAGAACATTTGATTTAAGGATACTAGACGATTTATTAAATTTAATATTTAACCTAACATATTAATTACCTTATAATTCAATCAGATCTAATATTCGTGACCGATAAATACTTTGATTTATGAATAATTATGACAAAACATTTTTCGACCAATAGCAGCTCGGTAAGAAAGAGACATAACGACCTAATTTTGATTTCCAACTCAAACTTTGTTTTTCTAGCTAGCGCGAGACTTATTATACTTAAAAAACAACATTACAAGGCGCTATGAATAATTTAAGAAATAAAGGGACCGTAATAAATTTTCATTCAATTCTGATTGGTCCACAGACAGGTTCGTTCATAACGAACGGCACGAGTTTAGTGAAGATCGCTCAAACGTTGATACGAGGGGCTTAATTGTGATGAAGAAGTATGTAAAATTAAAGAATAATACCACTAGAAGAATTACTTTTCATTCAATTAATAATTAACGGTAGATTAACATTTAGATCAACGCTGAAACCGTCTAGGGAAACGGCCATTTCGAGAATTAGTTAGGCAGCCCGTGCAACGCTTTTATTTCATTAATTCATCTTTATTTTTGTATTTTATAACCAGCTTTGACTTTTGTATTAGCTATTAAGCGTATGAATGACGAATGAATGCATTATGAAGATGCCGCGTAAGGTAAGCAACCGAGAGGGGAGACGCCATGTTGGTGCATGCGAAATTGGCAAAGTGATGAAGAAGGCAGCCATATTCGAGGTAGTGATGCCGTTTTCTGAAATCGAATCGATTTTTTTGATAATCGATTCATTTTCGAGGCCACGATTTTTTTAATCGATTTAAGAGAAAAGAATCGAACGATTCTGAAGAATCGAAAAAAAACGCTACAAATGCTTCGAAGCATTTTTTGATTGATCAATTAGTAAAATTTTTTGGTATGATATGACAACATTTGCTCTGTGTATCAATAATATGAATAAATAAGTTACGGTTACATTGTAGGACTCTATTACACATGTAGGACTCTATTAATAACGAGTGTACTCAGAGACTGTGTTCTAAAATTCACTACCAGCGCTAAAAATCTATAGTTTACGTTACGTGTATTATGATCGCGGTCCGATTCATGCTCGCAACGCTTAAAAATCATTTCATCCTTGTTGTTTGTCAAATGTTGAACGAAAACAAATAATGCTCATAAGCGTTGTCAGCATGAATCGGACCACGGCCTATATATTTTCAGCACTGGCAGTGAATTTTGGAACACAGCCAGAATAATCGATTCAAGCTGAAAAAAAATTGAATCGAGAATAAATCGTACTTCTCAGAATCGTTGGTAAATCGATTTTTTAGTACGAAAAAAAATCGATTCTCGATGCATCGAATCGAAATCCGGCATCACTAATTCGAGGAGTCGGTGGACATTCGTTGACGCGGACGGATGTATTACAACCACCCAGACTTCAGTTACGAATATCGCGAAAATTATACGTAGCGATCAATCGGAAACGCGTAATAACTTTAAAATAACGTTAAGAGTAACTATTCGTCGTATAATAAAACGCGGATACGACGCGATCGACGAGATACGTTTACTAACGGTTCGTGTATAAGACGCAATAAGGGCGCGAACGACCGACATTGATATAATGGCACAAAGGGAAACGCCGGTGATTAATAAACGTAAAGGCGCATTAGATAAGACGCGATAACTACTTAACATACGTGAAAGCGCATTAGATAAGACGCGATAACTATTGCGAGAAACGCGAGCAACGCGAAAATAACGTAATAACGCGAGGGGAATCCCGCGAACGATAGATAGCCATCTTGGCACGTAACGTAACGACATACACGAAAAGGTCAGACATCTTGGAATCTGACGCAACCGAATTTCGTTAATTCGAAATTAGATTTTGAGTTAGAGTAACGATACGCGAGTGTGATTGAGTGAATGCGAGAGTGAGTGTGGAACTGTTGTAAATTTTTAAATATTTTAATATACTGTTTTCTAAAAATATCCACACGTTTTAAATCACTCGAAGACCATTCCCGCGCGACAAAGACATTTCAGTGATAACTTCAAGAATCAGAGATCCTTAACCCAACGTCGACAACCCATAGAGCTGAACCGATGGGAGATTTGCAGATTTGAGTAGCAGTTATTTCAGGTGGACGACGAGCAATCCCAGGCAGCAACAAAAATCCACGAGGACTCGAGGCAGCATAAGAGGTAGTGATGGGAAATTCTTTTCCGATTCTTAAAAAATCGATTATTTTAGACTCAAAATAATCGATTATTATCTGATTCTTCGAAATCTCGATTCTTACTGAATCGATTCCGTTTTTTAGAGAATCGATTCCTTTTTGGCTAATCGCAGTCAAATATATTGTGATTGGTTGATCAAGGTCATTCTTCTGCTAAGAAGATCACGTGATTAGTTTGATGCTCGAATCGAGCGTCTAGCGTCAGCCATGCACTCATGAAAATGCAGCCTAATTGATTGTTGGGACCTCTATTGAGTCCAACAGTCCATGAAAGTACAGATATCACGTGAGCCATACATCGCGCCCTCGCGCAATTTCGAACCGGCAACGGCGCGCGCGTCATTTATATGCTGCGGTACCTACGTGGTACCTACAATCTATACAAGCTTAGTCGTATACTTTAATGAATGTGAATCTTGTTAATTCACGTTAAAAGTAAGGTTTAAAAACCTGTATTGTTACATACTGATTTTGTCACCAAAGTAAACAAGTAATAACATCATTTTATTTGAGTATAAAATACGTTACTTTAGACTCATTATCAGAGTTATATTTTTGTTTTACTAAAATAATATTCTTGCTTTTAGATACATAAAGATAATATATCTAAATAATGAAAGCCTCAAAAAAGAAA